TGCTACCCAGTAGTCTGCAATAGCTCAGAAATGGTAATATGGAAACAATGCTATTTCAAGCATCCTAAAAGAATGATGTAACTTACCATCTTTTACACTTTTATCCCTATAATACATCTGAAAATTGTGCTAATCATTTTAAATAATTAATGTTCTTCTCATGTCCACACGAAAATGCTTCAAATAATATAATCAATCCCTGTGTTTTCATAGGCCTGTTTCAGCCCATTATTGTTGCACTATACTTTGTGCTACTGGATAAATATATCGGCTATTTGTAATCCGATGATTTCATCACCCATTGTATTTTTGATGGTGGCTTTAATTTATTTTTTTTGCTAGATTGTGTTTATTTAATAGTCTTTCACCTTGAGAATTCAGCTCAGTAAACAATAAACTTATAAAGCACATTTTTAATAGCCCCACAAGGGGGTGCTTCCTTCATTTTTGTTGAGCAGAGAGTTTTACATACTCACACTAACTCATTATATATTAGTAGCAAATGTAGCGCCGCAGAGACCTGCCATTATTTGGCAGTCTCAATTCCCGCCAAATTACAGAGCTAACAAGCTATCCTGGTATGCTAGGTAAGCTAGTTGTGTATTGCTAGTGCTTGACATGTTATAGGTTGTGCACACTGACAATTTAATAGCCGCCATTTTAGAGGATTAAAGGCTTCTTTCACGTGTTTCCTTAATTTTTTAGGCCCACTGCACACACCTGTGACAGTTAACTATGCTAGTAGCTAGATTGGTATTAGTAGCTTGCTAACATTTTGACACATCTATAACCAATCAATGGTGACATTTTACTGTCAAAATGCGTATGTGCAGACTAGATTATATGACAATTATATGTTTTATCCATTTTATCCATTTCTGTGCCCAACATTTAGTTTTCTATATCATGTTTGTTTTATTTTCCATAGATAAACACCAGCAGTGAACAGTGACACGCCAACTACTCATCTGGTCCTTTTCATTTTCCAAAATTACCTTTAGAAATAGAAAGCCAGAGGTGAAAACAGACAGGATGAACAAGAAATAGGGAGATGTGAAGAAAAAGATGCTGTTGATGATGAATCACAATGTGCCTTCTGGGTAAAGAGCTCACTGACTCAAACTCATCCAGGACCTAAGCATGTGAGGGGAGCAGACATACCCTTGAGTTAACTGAGGGGGTCTCTTTTTCTCTCTCTCCTTCTCCATCTTCCAAGTCTCTAATCCGAAACCGGACACATTACTCAGCCGACCTCTCGCTGCCTACCGCACGCACAGTCAGGTCTCATTTCCGTTCATGCCAACCATAGCCTGGTCACCACCGAAACCACACAGACCACTGCAGGCACAAAAGGCTGCCCACTCTGTCTGCTCGGATGGACTCTGCAGACCAATGAGGGAGCTGGGGGTGGGTTAGGAAGAGTGGTTAAACAGATATAAAGAGCAAAGCGTTGGAAGAAAGGACACAAAGGAATAATCGAGAAAGAGAGCAAACGAGTAACACAAGATGCAAGTAGGTTCAAGACTTAAAGCACATATAAATAAAAAGAGAGTGTTTTTGTTCTCATACATCAGAAGAGGAGGAGAATGAAAAGACTGCAATCTTCGCTCTCTCATTCGCAGGTCAATAACTGCCTATGCTCCCACTAGAGCAGAGGAACATGTACTCAGATCCCTATCAGGGCAGCTATCATCTCTTCTGCCTCAGAGAAGCAAAGATACTGTCATCCTTGCACTATCGCAGAATGACATCAGCTCAGAGACATGGGAGTAATTATATTATACAAGCTCACAACACACCGGCAGCGAGACAACACCAGACACCATCAACTTTCTCCCTCCTCGCTCTCGTTTTCTTTCTTCACTTTCTTCGTGTCTGGTGTTCTTTACGATAGCTCTTCTTTTATTTCTTCTCTCTCTCTTTCTCTCTTTTTTTTCCATTCATTTGCTCTGTGCAGCAGTGCCAGCGCAGAAGAGCAGTGTTTCTAATCCCTTCAACCCTTAGCTCTGAAGCTGGAGAGCATTCAAATTGATTATAATCACTTAAATTGCTTCACCCACTTTGATAAAACCATCAAGCTTTGAAATGCTAAAACTCCTGGTACTGTTGATTGAACGAGTGTTAGGTGAGGTCTCAGACGTCTAAGTACAACGCATACTCATCAAGAAAATGAAGGTTGACTCCACCCTGACTAAATGTATGGGCTTTGACTCTGACAGGATGGCAAATATATAAACAGCATAGGCAAAGTAAGCAAATGAGGATATGGCAGACACGGCACAAATTGGAACTGTCATTCATCAATAAAAGTTAGATGCAAAAATGGCCAAGAAGTCAGTTTTCCTATTGACCACTGATTCCTAGTTTTATCACAATAAACTATTTTCCCACTGGTCAGATCCGCTACTCACTCTCAACAACTGGTCCAAAAGAAAACACGATAACCTAGTTATCCAACGTATCGAGTACAGTACCCATCTCTGGGAAAGAAGACTATCACCTCTGGGAGTGTATCCGTGATGAATGGTATGTCTGCTACTCAGAGTTGATACTGTCTGAACCTCATTACGGCTAGCCCTAAACAAACAATGCATCACACTCCAACTCAATTTCATACATCCTGACCATGGTAATTTTCTTCTTCTTTCCACATAAATCAATGACACTCAAGTTCAATACAAAAGGAACAAAAGATGTTTGCTCTTACAGTAGTACTCGGATACATATCTATATCTATCTATCTATCTATCTATCTATCTATCTATCTATCTATCTATCTATCTATCTATCTATCTATCTATCTATCTATATATATATATATATATATATA